TATTATTATTATTATTATTATTCCCACCCACCCAGCAGGTTTTGGAAGTAGAATTTGCATTCCTACACAAGATGAAGCTTGTGTTAGTCCATTCTAGCATATCAGGCCACAAACAAAAGAAAAATAAAAAAAATAAAAAAGACAAAGACTCTGTGGAACCATAGGTTAGGAGTGTCCACAAAATATCACATTATATTGTAGCAGTTAGTTTTTGAGGTGCCACAATGGTTTTGTCTTCTTTATTTAACCTGAAGTCTTTTAAAAAATGGCCTAAGATTGTTTTCCCCCTCTCCTTTGCCTCAAGATACACTGTATTATTTCCAGATGCTGCAAAATGAGTCATAATTTTAAAATGTAAGGTGGGTTGATTAGCTAGTTATACAGTGGGTTCAATAGTGAATATGGTTCTTCTCTTTCATCCTTGAACTAAGCTGCTAATTCAGAAGAAGGACTGTTTGGTACATACATATACCAATCAGAGTTTGGGAAGGTGACTTTTAAAGACTACACCTCCCAGAAGCCAAGCTGGCTTGGGGATTCTGGTAGCTGCAGTCTACAAAGCTACTTTTCTATGTTTTGCAGCAAAGCATGGCTGTCCATTGCACCAGAATCAGCAAATAGTTTAGTGCTTGTTTTTCAAGGCAGAGCTGAGCTCTGATTTGCAGAACCAGAACTGACCTTGGTTCAGGTGAAATGAAGGAAGAAGGTGCATGTCAACCCAAGGATACGTGTTGGTTTCTTGAGTTTACTCACATGGAAAGCCACAAGAACAAACCCATGATATGTAGAAATACATCCTCTGAGTCTTGTAACTTTCTGTTTCTAGATCAGGAAGTGCTTAATTTTAAAGTACATAGAGGAATATTTCCATAGACTGGAGTGCACAGAAATGGAAAGTTTTAATATCCAGTTTTGATAGTTCAGTGACTGAGAACTCTGGATTTGTGCCCTACTTATGTAGGTTATTTTCATATACAGTAGTCTGTATGGCCAGGCTGAACTGCTGCTTTTCTTTTCGAAACACTGTGACTGTGGCGTTACATTCTATACGCTCTCTCTCTCTCTCTTTTTTTTTTTTTGTCAATGGATTCTATATTTGCCTTCTTCCACTGCTCCTTCCCCCACGCCCAAATTCTGGGAGAAATCTTGTCACCATGTGCAAAAGGAACTGTGACCTTTGTGAAATGTGTAAATGGCTTTTCCACCAATCTATGTGTTATTTTAATTTGGACATGAAGGAATTTGGCACTGCTTCATTCCTGGAATTTACTATTCTGATCTCTGTGGCAATACAATCTGTGGATTTTCTCTGCTTGCTCATGCTAACCTACTATCTGACATGACTCCTCTTTAGCTGAGGACAGGGCAAGGGAAAAGCTGAAGCCTCAGGAGAAAGCAATGAAAGTATTCTGTATTTGGCCAGAGCAGGGCTCTTAATGCTTCTCATCTTGAGCCAGAGTTGATACACGGGCTGGATTCCTACCTGTCTTTGCCAGAGTTGCCAGTTTATTACTCACTGTGTTCAATGACAGCTGTACATTGCATGTCTCTCGTTCGCTCTTATGAATGGTTTCACAAATGGTGAAATATTGGCTGATATCCTATTGAACTAGGCATAACATAAATTTACAGCTGTGGAACTGTGCAGTACCTTATGCCCACACAGTCCACATCATGCAATTTGATTGCAAAATTGTTTGTGTGATTCGTAGCATGCCTGCAGGAAGTCCTTTGTGAATATCACGTCTGCCTCGGCACAATTTTCTCTACCACTTGGGCAATTTGGAGTTCCGCATGCAGAGCTGTGCAAGAGTATACTGCAATATATCTCAACCCTTTTGTCTAAAATCATCTGGTTAACCTTTTTTTTATGGTTAGAAACCCAAATAGTGAGGGCTTTCGTAGTTTTCACAATTTTTTCACCATTCATGGCAAGCCACCTTACTTCTCACAGACAAAATTTTTCAACAGGATTAAGTGTTTGGGCTGCTTGACACTAGAAGGTACAACTGCAAGCAGAGGATGATATTGCAACCATTTTGTCAGTTATTATACTATTGAATTAATCAATTCATGGCCATTGGGTACTGAAATTTGGATTGATGTTTGCATTTTTCATGGGAATGCATCTTCAGTTAGGGAATCTGGGCTATGTAACTTAATTATTCCTGTTAGTTTCACACGTAACAAGAAAGTCTAGAGAAATGTGTGTATTTTTGGCGTATTCATTATAAAATGCTTATTTTAGGTTTACAAGTGGATCACTACTTCTAGTCTCCTTTTCTAACAAAATAGTCCTTAATTCAACTGCTAGTTCCAAGTAGAAATGTCATTGATTCAGTGGATGTGCTCTAGTAAGAACTCGTGGCTGGACTTAGGCCATAGAATCAATCCAATAAGTCTCCTTCCCTCTGCAGAATCAAGGAGGCGACATTCCCCTTCCACTTCAGACTGCCAGGTATTCCCCTCTCCAACCTGCTCCAGAGAACTGGGAAACTTCAGGACCTGTTTTTTCAAGAAACATAGAGTGTACTCTGGAGGAAAGAGCAATGGAAGAGAATGTTATTGCATTTGGCTGTTCAGTGCTAGTAGAATGTTAGGATTAAGCCTCTGTTCTCTTCCTCTGATAGATGGTCTCTTGAGGTTTGCTGGGTTTCTTCTCTCAGTTCTTCCAGCAGATGGAAGAACACAAAAACCCAAATGATCTGGTAGTGAAAAGTTTCATTTACTCAATTTAATTTAGTGCAAACAGAAGAGCGGGTTTAGTGAGAACAAAATTATTTGTTTTGATTTGATTAAGTGTTGTGCTGTGGGTATTGATTAATCATGCCCTTGGCTGTTGCAATAATTTACCTTTTGGATTTCCCCTGATTTTTCTGACCCAAG